TAAGTTTACAATGCCCTTTATTTAACATTTAATTTCTCAAATAATTTTTATGTTAAAATTTAATATTTAAAACTAAAAAAATATATCCATCAATTGACTGTATATTTATCATTCGTTCATCTACAGTCATGTCGAAAAAATGCTTGGGTAGTGTAACTAACGTAAATAACAAACAATTCCTTGAAAGACCATAAAATTATGAGAACGGAATCCAACACTAATGTAAACACAGACATACCGCAGTATCATACGACTCAGTTCGAAAACAGACGGACGATTCGTCGTAAATATGGATCATTTGTTTATGTTATCATGTTTGGACTTAGAAACAGTTGTTCTGTTTAAATGATCGCGTGATAAAGTGAAGCAAAAAGCGTTGCTGAGATCAGCGCCTTATGTAGACGTGACAAATTTCGCGTTCTAGAATTTTCTCATCAAAAATATTCACAAATACGAATTTGACTTCAATTATTGTCTCTAGAATAATCTAGAATAAAAACATTTTTACAGATAGTTTTACACAGCTTATTAGAAAATAAAAAAATTATAAAAAAAATATATATAGAAAAATCTATAGAAATATATACATACATTAAGACTGAAAAGTTTTCGGAAATTCTCATTTAAAATTCGCGCGCTGTATATTTTTCGATATTTTAAGTTTATGTAGTTTGGCAGCACTGTCCTTAATTACTATGCCAAAAATGAGCTCGATCTGTCAGACAGTTCGTTTACGGCAGCTGTTGAAACCAGTTCACCTCAGTAGTGCGTTGCGAAATGTCTTCGACGGTCGTACGACCGTCCTGGAAGGCTTTGTACCACTCATAAACTTGAGTTTTCGATAAAACTGATTCCCCATAAGCCTTTTGTAGCATTCGCAACGATTCTGCACACGAAATTTCGTTCGAAACACAAAATTTGATGCAAACTCTTTGTTCAATATTTTTTTCCATTGTTTTTTTCGCAACGCCCTACTGAGGTGAACTGGTTTCAACAGCTGCCGTAAACGAACTGTCTGACAGATCGCGCTCATTTTTGGCATAGTAATTAAGGACAGTGCTGCCAAACTACATAAACTTAAAATATCGAAAAATATACAGCGCGCGAATTTTAAATGAGAATTTCCGAAAGCTTTTCGGTCTTAATGTATATAAGAAAATAACGTCAATCCTGAAACAAAACGATATTAAAATAATGTAAAATCCCTAATGACCGTACTAACTCTATAATAACAAAATTTTTCATTATATATAATTTAATATATATATATTAATTTTTAAAAAAATTTCTGTTAACGATTCTACGTATATTATAATTTTTTGAATGTGATATTTTCGGTTAAGGCAAGTCTTATATAACCTTATTTAAAAATCAAAATATGCTTAGATGAAAATCCATCTTAAGGGCTATATAAAAAAAATGAAGTAATTATTTTTGTTTAGCTTTGAGTTTTTGGTTGATATACAAATTAAAAATTCTTCAAATCTCTAATTTAAAGAAGATATATAGCAGATACAATATATAGACAGTGGAAATCCATCATGCAAGACACGACTTACCTGAGTAGTAACAAATGAATCCCCTACAATATTTTAGCAATAAGGTTTGTTGGCTACGCTGGGCTGACGAACCTCAATGTCAGATTTCTAGGTTGACTTGGCCGAACTTAGACAAGAAAAGAACTAGTCAGCTACTTCAACTAAGACGGAACCTGCTCAGCACTACGGTATCTGTGCTGACGGGACACTGCGTAATAGGAAGGCACGCTATGAGACTGGGTCTCCCCTTTAATGACTTTTGTCGAGGTTGTGGTTCTGAGGATGAGGAGGAGACTGTACTCCATCTCATGTGTCAGTGCCCTTCCCTAGCCAGAAGAAGATTAAAAACCCTTGGATCTCCTTTTCTAACTGACCTGACTGAGTTGTCATCCTGTAATGTTAGGACCTAGCCAAGTTCATAGAACTGTCAGGTTGGTTTTCCTTTACCTAATAGGGGAGTCGTTACCTTTCTTCGACGTTGAATGTATACTGATTACAATCTATATACAAATCAACGTAACTCCTGTGGTACCACAATGGGCCATTGTTTGTGCTTAAGTGGGCTTTTTGGGATACAAGGCCGCCACTCCAACCCAACCCAACCCAAGGTATGTTGGCTATTTTCGGAAATTATGCGCAAAGATATCCAACTTTGAATTGAAAAAGTTTTGTCGTTTTATCTTCACTAGTGATAAATCAAACAAAAATTAGAAGAATGTAGACTTTCAAGTAGTTATATGTATTTTGGTGAATAACGGACAGTAGCACAGTAAATTAATACCGTTTTCCTTTACCTTTTTTAATTCCCAAAGCCGACAGTAGTCATTGAATGGAATTCCAAAGTCGTAGATACAATAAATTCGATGTCAGTAGTTCGGGTTAGATTTAAAAGTGATTTTACTCTAAAACAAACGCTAGAAATAATTATGTCGATAAAGAGGTGTCACGTGATTATTAGAAAATAATATACGGTTAAGTTAATGGTCGTAATTTTGAATATTTTTTAACTCTTTAAATATATGTTTATATTTAGGTACCACACTTAGATGACATACTTGAACCAAATTGAACTGCAATGATATGATATGATCCCAGTACCACCTTTAGCACATTATTCGTCGTTGAATCATACTTCCAATACATCAAGCCACATTAGTTTTGATAGTAAAACGCTAGCAATATATGACTATAAACTAAAGATGTCATTTTTTTTGCTTGCTATTTATTATACAGGCAAGAGAAAGTGTTTGATATACCCATTTATACCCATTTTTGTTGCGTCTTAACCCATTTATGTCATCTAGATATCCTCGCATAGAAAAATGTGCGAGGATATGTCTAATTTTGATCAAGTGAGCAAAAACTATATCTAAATTAATAATTTACTAATTGCCAGTGTAATGCAACTACACAAATAACATATATACTTATATAAATAATATATATACTTATATATGTTATTCAGTCTGCGTACTTAAACATTGTTAAATAAAACATAAAAAATACGTTTATCAATTAAAATTTAATTTGTCATCCTCAAAGTAGCCACCATTAAGCGCAATACATCTTTGTCTCCATATGGCACAATCTTTCACACATTTTTCGTGAGCTGATTGAGGTCTGATCTTTAATTTCTTCAACGTATTTTCATATCGACTCGAAACGTTCATGTGAAAATAGTAATTTTTGATTTAGGAACAAAAAAAGTCAAATGGAGTCAACCAGGACAGAACGGTGTTAACATTTGTTAAGTTATTTTTGAAAACTTTTGACTATAGATAAATTTGTGCCATCGCAAAACACTTAAACATTTAATTATAAAAAAAAACAGCTTGCGGAAATACACTGGGTAATGAGAAGTTCTAAAGTCTTGGATGGTACCATTATATAATACTACCAACTAAGCGAAGAGAAAACTGTGGGGTACCTTCGGTCCATGCATATCAAGTTATAATAGAATGTTTGCATCTGGTTTGCATAACAACTGGATTTTATTTTTTTCTTATTAAATTTTATTTAATCTAAGATTCTCTTAATCTGATTAAGAGGAATTTATTTAATTTTGATTTATAGTCTGTTTTTACTAAATCGAAATCATTCGATATGACCATAGTGTAATTTACAAATTGCGAGGTCTGTGATAAGTTTCGCATATCGAAGAGAACTCAGTTTCCAATAATCCGTGGCAGCAATTATTTTTGAAGGTGATTATACGTATCTATAGGTATTCCTATTGAAAAGCTGTACTTTATAATGTAAACACAGATATACCGCATATAATCAATGACTCATTAATCAATTCATTAATCTTTTAATAAATTCATTTTTCGGTTAATGCGCAAACTATCTTCAAAGTTCATCGAAATATTTTTCAAGCAAGATTTGAACAGTAAAAAAAATGTTGTTTGTATAAACAAAGTTAAGCAAAAATTCGTTACCGAACATAGATTCAATGCAATTTCAGCATATTTCGGCTATAAATTAAGCTCAGAAAATCAGACGTATCTGCAGATGTCAGGAAAGTGTTACTGGGAACCAGATTGCATCACAGACCAACTGACTTACAATGAAGCCAACACTTTAAAAGAAAACAAACTTGAACTTGAAACTTGTCCAGATTGAATTCCGTTGAATTTGATAGCAAGTTTTGTGTTCATGAAAAGCCAACTTCAGGTTTGACATCAAAAGCGTAAAGTGGCAACAACCACAAGAAGCGCAGAGTCAATGGTTAAACCAAACCAAAAAGATGCAACTGGAGAAGCGTGTTGTATTCAAACCTGTTCCAGGCAGTTAAGAGTGTAATGACATTTCTTTCTTAGAAGAACTGGGATTATTTTAAGAGCATATGAAAAAATTTATTCTGAATTCTGTAACAGTCCAGAATAAAGATTTAACAAGAACGGACGATTTGATAAGTTCAGCTTCAAAAAAATAAAAATGAAGTTTCAGGTAAAGAAATGAATAGTTCAATTTTATTTTTTTGTGAATTAAATAATTTTATATAACAGGTCTTATTAATACTACTAAGTGGTGTTTTATGTACACAGTCAGCAGTTGTACCATTACAAGACTTGGCTACTGATTACCAAACCACGGAGACTTTTGCAACACATGATAAATCACAGGCAACCGAGTCACATGAAAGTCAAGCCGCATTTGAGATCGTAGCACCATTGACTCAATTGGCGCATATAACTTACGATTCCATACCGGTGGCTCATACGCCATATGAGCATGTACCACTATTTCAACGTGTCAGTCATGTAGAGGCAAGAAAGCATAGCGGCAAAAAATATAATAAAATTGTCAAAAACTGATTGATAAAATGCGACAAATAAAGAAAACAAATTGATTTTAATGCAAATTTTGTACTATTTTTATTTGTTCCACTTTTCAACTTAAGGTTGACAGCAAATACAATAATCCTTTGGTTGCGGTATTCCATTTACCAGCATAGTCAACATAGCGCTTACTACATACTAAACTTAACTAATAGGACGATTAGGTATTGAGTCTTTTCTGTTGGCTTAGATGAAGTAAGAAGCAGGTGCACCGAAAGCAGCATATTTAGCGGGCGCTGCAAGAGCTAGTGGTGAAGGAGCGAATCCAACTTTAACTGGTGCAGGAGCAGCAAAAGCAACTGGTGCTGGTAATGGAGCAGCAAAAGGAGCACCTAATGGAGCAGCTAAAGGAGCACCTAATGGAGCAGCCAGTGGAGCACCTAATGGAGCAGCCAGAGGGGCACCTAACGGAGCGGCCAATGGAGCAGCTAATGGACCCGCGAATGGGGCAGCTAACGGTGCTGGAAGTGCTGCGGCAAAAGGCGCTGCAAATGGAGCAGCTAAACCAATATTAGCTGGTGCCGCGAAACTGACTGGTGCGGGTATTGGAGCAGCAAATCCAAATTTTCCTGGTGCAGCTAAAGCAACTGGAGCTGGCACGGCAAGTGGTGATGGTACTGCAAGTGGAGCTGGTAAAGGTGCTGCAAAAGCTACCTTTGCTGGTGCGGCTAAAGCAACTGGCGCCGGAAGTGGTGCTGCAAAAGCTACTTTTGCTGGTGCAGCAAAAGCAACAGGAGCTACTGGTGCTGGTACTGCGACTGGTGCTGGTACTGCTACTGGTGCTGGTGCTACTGGAAAAGCAACGGCGTGGTTGATATGATGTGCATTATATGATGAAGCATAAGGTGCAACCACACCAGCAGTTGCGTGCAATAAGCCAGCTTGAGCAGTTGCTACCAAAGCACAAGCAAGAATCTATGATGAGATATAGAGAAAAAATTAAAAATATATTATATAGCAAACTATATTATAAAGATTATCGTTTATATCTACATACCAAGTATTTGGCCACCATTTTACTAAAAGTTTTTTTTTGAATTTGGAAAAGGGATTAGGCTGGGTTGTGAATGCCCTAAGCGTTAAAATGATTGTGCTAATAATGTGAATATAATGCAAAGCTTTTATAGTTGCCAAAAAAATCAAAGACCAATTCAAAATATTTAATATTCGAATATCAAAGAGCTATCACTGAGTAACTTGGAGCTCCCAGAGTTTGCTGCTTAGAATTCATAAGTGAGAAGTAATGTTATGTTGTTGTTATAACCGATATCGAAAAGCAATTACTCAAAGTATGTATTGTACTGAATACCACATATGAGGGCGAAATTTTGTCTCCACCATATAGAAAGTCAATAAGCCCTTGCCCAATAAACAAGTATTGTATATCATTTAATGTTGTTTTGTTTTTGTAATACAAAAGACTCTTTTGTGTTCATTGTAGCATGAAATTTCGAAGACTCACTAAACAATTCAACTTAATTACAAAGCCAATCGATTATTTGTTGCATATAAACGCAAAACCAATGATTTGCATAAGTACAAAAATTTATCGAAGCCTTGTCCACGGTATGTCATAATTTTCGGTTATCTTTTAGTGTCCAAAAAGACTAACTTCAATACTGCGATTTTTTAATTCGATGTCTTAAGTCTGTCGATTGAATTCCAAGTTGTGTTGCAGTAAATGTTGCGTTGTATGCGACGCACTTTAAACGTGCTTTGCATCGGTAATGCCTTTTTCAAATGTTGCGTGAAGAAAATTGTACTTTTTTTACTTCTCCTTCATTTTAATAAATTTTTTTACCTCACCGATATTTGCAGTCCAGTCCAGTATGCGCGTTTGGTTGTGCAAATTTCTTTTTAAGTCCATCAGCGAGGTATTCGCCTACCATTGACAAGTTGTGTGAGCTACCAGACGCGTGGGGAAGAAGTGTGTAGAATGTCGCTTAATTAATTTATATCATTATAAATTTCCATTGGGCCTTAAATGCGACTAACTGGCACTTTGACGTAATTATTATGTCAACTATTAAAACGATATAAATAAATTATTTTTAATTTATTTTGCAATAGAAATTAATCAGCTGTTGATATTTACTCGTTATTGAAAATATTTCATTTTGTCGTGAATTTATTAAAATAATTTAAAAATTAATTACAGGTATCATATAAAGATTGATTTAAATATAATTTGATGTGCATGCCATGTAACGGTCGTTTTAAGTCAATCGGACCTCACATTGGATCTCTC